TTTTATTTTTCTTTATTATACTTGTTTCTTTTAAATATCTTTCTTAATTTAACTCATTTATTTTTTAATTTTTAACTTCTACTTTATTAATAATTAATTCATTTCTGATTATTTTTATATTTTCCTCTTCATTTTTTCATTCTAACTAACTAATTAATTATATTTTTTGTTCAATATTTAAAAAGTATCAATTTAATTGGTGCGATTGGTGCATCACGCTTATGTTCCGCTTTAGCAAATAGCACTAATCTCTTAAATTTGACACTTAGCCTTAGGTAAAAACAGTTTGTTTTTTTGATTTGTGATATTTTTAGCTATTAAAGTAAATTTAAAATAATATAGCTGCCCATTCATTTGAAATGATTATTATATTACTGATAAACATTTTTTTGTTCTTCAATTTTATTATTTTCTATATATTTATTTTTTAAAAGGCTTACGAAAATTAATCAAAATAAAGAAAGATTTTTTCAAATTTTGAAATTTTTTAATTTAGCTCTTATTTAGTGTTTCGAATCTTTTGAAAATCACTATATATAAATATTTTAAAATCCCGAACAGCTAAAAAACTCTAATAATTTATTTGCTTAATAGATTTTTATTTTATTTATTTTTCTTTTTATTATTTATTACACTTGTGCCTTTTTTATCTTTCTTAATTTATCTCATTTTTTATTTTCAACTTTTTTGCTTTGTTATTAAATTTTAAATTTCTTAATTTTTTTATTATCCATCCATCCTTCATTATATCCTTCTAATTTAAAAATTAATAATAATTTTTTTCTTCAATACTTAAAAAGATGGAATTCAATTGGTGATGAAGGTGCATTAGGCTTAGGTTCAGCTTTATAGAATTGTGCTAATCTCTCAAATTTAACACTTGATCTTCGGTAAATACAATATATTTGTTTTGACTTGTGATTTTTTTTATATTTAAAATGAATTTAAAATAATATAGGTCTTTGAATTTATTTATTTGATAGCTTTTATTTGATTTATTTATTTATATATTTTATTCTGCTTATGTTTTTTTATTTGTTAATTTAAAAAATAATTTTTTTAATTTTATTCTAATTTATTATAAAAGTGAAAACTAAATCGATCAACCTTAATAATAAAAGAAAACTAAAAGTAAATGCCTCAAATCAAAAAGATTAGTTTCCTTTGAAATAATTTTCTGACTGCGATAAACAAATGGTGAAAAAAGACTAATAAATATTTGAGTTAAAGAAAATAAAAAATATTATTTAACAATATTTTGTAATAAGATAATTTAAACTAAAATATAGATAAATTTATTATTATTTTATATTTATGAAAAGTATACTTTTGTAAGATAATAAATAGCTTATTAAATGTAAGAAAATTTATAAATTAAATAAACTTAAATAAATTAATTTCTCTAAAATCAAACAATGCACAGTTTTTTTTCGCTAAAAACAATCAAAATTTTAAATAATTGTTAAGTTTCTTATTATAGCTAATTGCCATTCAAAAATTTAATGATTTGAAATCACTATTTTTTTGAATGGCTGATGTGTGTGTTTAAATATAATTTATATAAAAATAAATAATTTAACACGTGAATTTTATTAGTAATATTAATAATTAATTTTAATTTTTTATATCTTTATGATTCAAAAATAAAAAATTATTTTTTTATTTGTCCTTAATCAACTTAATCAAGAGGATTTAAATTATATTTATTTATTTGCAAATAATTATTTTAAATAAATTTACTACTAATTATTTTTAAGTTTAAAAATAAAATTAATATCAAATAAATTATATTAAAATTAGTAATAAAATTTCTAATTAATTTTAATAACCTTATTTACTTTCAATTTTTTATTAACCATTCATAAATCTTCCTTTTTTGATTATGGAATTGAAAAAATAATTTACTTTTATTTTTGATACAATTATAATACGTAGTTAGACAGATAGATAAGATATTTAGCTTTCTTTAATAAAAATTATTTTCATAACTTTACAATATAAGACTTTATATTTTTTATTTTAGGTTTAATAATATAAGTTATATTAAAAAATGGAGGAGATGAAAAAGAAATTAATAATTTAATTTATTTATTATTAATGTAATAGCTACTGCTTGAATTAAGAATTAATAGGGTGTTTTCTACAAAAAAAAAGTATAAAGCATCCCTAATAATCAGATTAACTAAGTTTATAATCATTTAGCTTCTGCTAAATAAAAAACATATAGTGAGTAACAAAAATAAATGAAGAGTTTAATTAATCAAATCTGTCAGAAACTAATTGTTTTTTTCTAATTAATTAATGGTAGTAGTAAAAATTGTATTTTTTTAAATGATTTTGAATTCAAGTGTAATATATAAAAGAGATTAAAAAATAATAAAATTTACATTAAAATATAATAAAGTGCCTAAATGTTATTTAAACATATATATATTTAACAAGTAAATAATTTGGATATTATACCTAACCATATTATATACTTCCTCGAACCTCAGATTTAGGTGAAAAAATCAAAGATTTTGAGTATTTTAAAGATTTCAAAATTTATGGCTATTTCAGCAATTCTAAATGTGGCGCTTATAGGGAAATAGGGTTGTTTTTATTTTTTAGAATGTCAAAATCGCTTAAGATGAAATCTTATATTAGATTCTTAATTTAGAAGCAAATAAAAATATTAATTTTCACCTAATAAACAGTTGGATTATTTGTGTATTGGTTCTAAACTCTATAATTCTTCTTTGAGTATAATTACAATTCAATTTTATTTTAATTTCGAGTGTGAAAGCTAGAAAGACATAATCAATAATACAAAATCAGCTCGTATACAAATAGCTAACAATATTTAAGGCCATTTTAAATATCTAATCTTTCCTGAAAGTATTGCATGCAAAAGTAGGATTATTTTTAAGAATGTGATGAAAATTAAGCCTAAAATGTATTTTTTTTGACCTCTATTAATGTGAAGAGTTAGATTTATTGCATTTATTTACAAGCTACTATTTTAAATATGCATCATCGAAAAAAACAATACGAATTTAAAAAAACCATTTCTTTTATTTCAGTTTTTAAATAGATTATATGAAATTAAAATATACCTATTACTATTATATAGTTAGATAATTGCTTTATTTAGATCAATTTTTATAATTGACTTGCTAGATTTTATATCAAGTATATATTTTTTAAATGCAAATAAGTGTTTGTATCTTTAAGTTAAAAATGATAGTATTAAAATAAAAAGAGTAAATGATATTTTTAAATAATTTTATTATAGATTTTATATTAAAGTATAAATAATAAGATATATTTTTTAAATTGACTGAAATTATTTAAATAACTATATCCATTTGTTTTAAATAGCACCTGCTTTACTTTTCAAAAATTAAAAGTTGGATTGAGTTTTCAAAAATAACTAATGATATTTATTGATATTGATTGATTGTTATCTTAAATCATTTAATTCTTCTGAAAAAGAATGCTTCATCAAAATTCATTTTTTAAAAAATAAGAGATACTATGAATTATTTGACCTTTTAGCTTTTATATATAGGAACAGAGTTTAATTGATGGTTTTTAAATCATGTTAGTAATAAGATTAGATTTAAAAATGGATGGAAAATATTTAAATCAGTATATTTGTTAATTATGTAATAGCTGCTACTTTTTTTCAAAAATTAAAACCAAGATTGAGGTTTAAGAAATAATCAGATTAATTGATTAGTATCTGTAATCATCTAATTCCTTTTAATAATAATACAATTTTTCACCAAACTTAATTTAACTAGAAAAAAGAGTTACAATATGTAAATTAAAAGATGTCAAATAAAGATTGTGTTTCAAATAAAATGGAATATAAATCAAAACTAATAAAATTAAAATATATATTATAAATTTACTTTACTGCTTTATCTTAATATATATGTTCCTGGTTTTAAAATTCCGCTGATTGGTTAAGAAAATACCAGGTATTTATTTTTTACAGAAAATTCAATGGAGTTAGAGTCTTAAATTAATTTATATAAGAATTCTTTATAAACAGAAATGCAATTTTATTAGCAAGCTCAAATATACCTACATAAAGGAGTGATTAGCTTGGTGGAAAGAAAACTCCAAAATATTTCCATATTTATCAAACATTTTATATTTTAATATATATTCATCCAGTGTAGCCTGTGAATAACTATTCTCTAAAGCTGAAGAATTAGTAAGACAAAAGAGGAGAAAAATAAACTCAATTTACCTACTTATTTTTAATTCAAATGATTGAGTTAAAGAAATTAATCATATTTAAATATAATATTTTTGACATACAGTATAAAAATAATTTATCAAATGAATTAGAGATAAGAAACGCGAATTTTATTTAACATATATTATTTGGTTATGTATCTAATATTTATAGTTCCATTTATTTATTTGCTTGTTAATAAAATTGTGTTAATAATATGATAATTTTAAAATTTGAATGGAAACTATTTAAATGAATATATTTATTTGTTATGTAATAGCTACTTTAAGCAGGATTGAGTTTTTAAAAATAATTAGATTAATTTGATTATTATCCTTTAAAAAGATAGAATTCTTCCCAAAATTAATTTTTTTGCAAAATAAGAGATGCTATGAATGATATGACCTTGCAGCTAATATGTATAGCACCAAAGGTTAATTGATGGTTAGTATATAGTGTTAATCATAAGAAAATATTTAAAAAATCGATGGAAAATTTTTAAATCAGTATATTTATTTATTTGTTATGTAATAGCTACTACTTTATTTTTCCAAAATTAAAACAAGATTGAGATTTAAGAAATAATCAGATTAATTGATTATTATCTGTAATCATCTAATTCCTCTTAATAATAATACAATCCTTCTGGTTTATAAAAAATTTTTAACACATTATTTTTTGAAAAGGTTTTTTAGATAGTTATATTATGACTATTAGAGTGTTAATTTATAGGTTTATATTTGATTATAAATGCAACTAAAATAATATCTAAAGCATTAAAAATGTTTTATTTGTGCAAATTTAATAGCAAATAGAAATCCCACAAGATGAAACTGCATGCGAAAATCTTAATAATAAATCAAACTAATTTTTTATTTTGTTTATTTTTTAAGGATTGGTTTTTTGAACTGTAACTTCAATTTGAGGAAAATTCATTCTGTTATATTCTTAATTTGAATTAAATTACATAATGGTTAAAAAGAAGAAGTGAGTGAGTGGCTTAAAGCCAATATATTGACAGATGGCTTATAATCACTTACTGCAATTTTTAAACATCAACCTTACCAATAATATTACATTTAATAAAATGGTTATTTTAAAGTTTGCTACATCTGAAAACAGTTTGAGTAGGGATGATTTAGTTAAATTAGAATTTAAGGTAAGATAAATTCAAATTTTATTAATTTATTTTGTATTTTCTTGGTAACTAATATTAGAATACTTACTTATAAAAGGATGAGAGATCATTTTTTGTAAAAAAATTTAATTAATTAAAAACAATTATTAATCTAAATCTCCTAAAAATAAATAAATCGAATTAAAAATGAAAACTTAGATAATCAGAACATTTCTCTTGGTTATTTTATAAAGTTTAATTTTTGATAAATAATTTATAGAAAAAGTATTTATTTATCTATTTTAAAAATTAAACAGTCTTAAAACTCTCATACGCAGATTAAAAGTACGATTGCAGCAACGGATAACAGTTTTTGTATGGCTTTAATCCTAAATGTAAACTTTTTTTGTATTATTTTTTTATTATTAAAACAATTTTTATAAACTTAAGTTAGTAATTGCTTACTTAATTATTAAAGCCCTTCTTAGCAATCTGATATAGACAGTGTCAAATAATATTTATCAGAGATGAATTGCTTATTTACATTTCCTCTATTACATAGCTAATACTTATCTGGAAGTAACTGTATTTCTAATAATAATATAACAATACAATATACTCCTAATCCGTAAAAGAAATATGTTATTAACTATACAATAATTATTTTTGAAATATATAAATCTTTTCTTAATCAATAATTCTTATTACATTATTTTATTTTTAAAATCAAAAAGAATAATCCCAATTATTTTTAGTGTTTTCATTTTAAACATTAAATTATTTTTTTCTAAATGCTTTATAAATAAATATTTTAGGATGAGAAAGATATATTCCTTTTCGTTTACGTATACTTATTATACAAATATTTCTACTACCATTAATGTATAATCGAATGTTGAAATAAATAACGTCAATTATCAAGGATCTACTAGTTCTTTTTATTTCGTAAACTAGGATTATGCTTTTAATGAAAATGCTGTGAAATAATTCTCTTAGAATATTGATAGTTTAACAATAAAATTAGCACCATTAAATTTGAATTCTGGGTAATAATATCAAGTTTATTTTCGATTTTTGACACTAGTTGTATAATTGGTAAATTTAATTATTAGATTTATTAATTATGAGAGGTATAATAAATTATTGATTAATTAATTATGTATTAAAATTGAGTTTAGTTTTAAATAAAATTATAGAATAAAAAATTTTTTTACAAATAACCTTTCTTTAAATTTATTAAATATGAGTCACTTAAAAATATTTATTTAACATAATATTAATTAAAAGTGTCAAATAAATTGTGACAAATGTGATTATAATTAAGTATGCTTATAATGTTCTTCTGGATTTTATTATTAGTAAGCTACAAGCTAGTGTGTAAATTCTTGTAATAATAACTAATTTCCAGACTAATAGATGTAATGCTAATTATGTAATAATAACTGTGCAAGTTGTGATGGTCCTAGCTCAAATAATTGCTTGTCATGTAAACCTGGTTTATACTATGATTAAACCACAAGAACATGTTTTTGTGATCCAGCCTGCAAAACTTGTGATGGTAAAAATTCAAATAATTGTCTATCTTGTTACTCTGGTTTGTATTTTTCGTAAGCTACAAAGCAGTGTGTAAAATTTTGTAATAAAAACGAATTTCTAAACGTATAGTTGCAATAATGCTAATTATGTAATAGTAGTTGTGCAACTTGTGATGGAAAGGACTCAAATAATTGTTTAAGTTGCTACCCTAACACCTTTCTATACAGCAAAAATTGTGTTATCCTTTGTCCAAATGGGTTTTAAAGTAATCTTAATTCTCTCAAATGTGATTCATGCTAAAACTATTGGAGCCTGTAATGCAATCCTTGTCATCCCAGCTGCAAACAATGTGATAAATCATAGATTTTAAATTAATAATGTAATACTTGCTATGATAATACAAGATAATTAGACGTTTCTACTAATATATGCGTTTGCAAAAACTAAAATGATTAAAGGAATATATTTTATTAATGCAGCTATCAAAATATTGCTGTAATTGATGCAAGATTAAGTGCAACATCACCAAAACTTACTATTGATTTAGGATCTCCATTAATGAATATCATATCAGATACACCTTAGTCTTTGTGCTAACAGATATTTGACAAAGCATCTTAAAACATGCTGGGGTTAGATTCTTCATGCGAAATTAGTGGGAATCAAATTTTGGTCAGCTTAAGTAACTTAATTTTATTAAATATTCTATTCAGCACTTTAATTAAAACATAATTTACCTTAACTATTATATTAAAACATGCTTTCATTTAATAATTATTTTATTTTAAATATAATTTAATTTGATAAATAGGCAGCTCATCAACAATAATGGAAAATAATTCTATAACCCTTTTGCCAAATAAGTTGCAGTTTATAGATTATAGTGCCAATTAAATTAATATTTTTTATAGAAATATCATTTTCTAAGAGCCACCTGGCATTCCTTAACTTTAATTTAGCTATAATCACATAGAAAACAGCTGTAACTCAATCAATATAACTCTTTATAATATTTAGAATGATGCAGGAAGAAAAATTATGAGTCTAAATTGGACTTTAAATCAAATTGTAGGTCCCATAAGCAGCGAACAGTAAGGAAGTATAAAGGAGATATTGTTAAAAGCAAGCTAAAACAAAAGCACTAGTTTAATCATAGATCCTAAATTCATACCTCCAAATATTAATATAACTATATAATTTAGTTATTTACTTAAGGTTAACTCAACTGGTACTTAAATGTTCACCATTATTTATCAAAAATAAAAATTTATAAGAGTCAACTATTAGCAAAATATATACCCACCAATTTATAGGTTAATTTTTCTTTATAATGAATTATTTTTATAAATTATTCTTAAATTATTAAATAGATCTATGAGCTTGAGTTTCTACTTCTAGTTTTACATTGAGACATGTGAGTTAGGCCAAATAACTAATTTTGTTGAACCTATTGATTTATAACTATTTTCTAACCAACTTTAAAATCAAAGCCTAAGTCAATATAATTAATCAAGCTTTCAATATGATATTCTCCCTTATACTTTAGCATCTAATTAAACCTTTAATATGAGCGTAAGTTTTTTATAAATATTTGTAAGAAACACAAATAAAACTTTTATAGAAATAATATTTCTAAATTTTTTTTATGAATTTGACAATAAAAGAAATGTAATTTATTAACAAAAAAAAACATAAAAATGAAAAATACCTCTTATTTATTGAATACCATTCCCATATTATTAATAAAAATATTTTAGATTTTAATATTCAAATTAGAAATATTCTTCTTCAAATAATTCAAACCTTATTTATTTTTTCTTAATTTAATTTAAAAATAGCTGATTTTAAATTTGAGTTCAGATAGTAAGATTGCTGCCATCCAAAATATATCAGTTAATATTTAAATCACAGATTTATATTTGCAAATTATCGGAGGCTCTACTCTTAATTTAGGATATCAAAATAAAACGGTCTTAAGTACAGATTCGAGGGATTATGAAATTTAAGATCAAAATTCCCCTTCAAATATAAACTTTAGTTGGAAGTGTACTAGTCTAATTTCTAATGACCTTATTTGCTATGATTACTAGAATAAGTAGATCTAATTGTAGCAAGGAGCCAGTAGTATTACATTTCCTGGTAAAACTTTCTAGCCATACACAATAATTTAGTTAACTGTTGTTGGATAAAAAGATTCTAGGAAATCAAATTTCACTACTACTTGTATATTCACAGAATTAGATATTCCTCCACTAAATATTGTATAAACTGCAACGAGCATAAAGAAAAAAATTAATTTGAATGATGATCTTAATTTTTAAATAATTTATGGTGAAATTTTTTCGTCAGATTATTTGTCCTATGCAGGAGCTATATTATATGATAATAATCCAGTTGCAGCTATCAGATTTGATTATTTTCAAATTAGATTCAGAATTTGGAACTATTTTTAAAAAATAGATCCCTTAAGGCCAACACTTTAAATAAGATTTTCTGTGTATAATCCATTATTTGTTATGCCAAGCTCATCAATAATTAACATCTAAATTAATATTCCCCCTCAGAATTGCGTTTTAAATATAAATCCCTTATAAGGTATAGCCCTCGAGACTATCTTCTAAATTTAATTCTTGAATTGTAAAGACGAAGATCTTCCTCTTACTTACTAGTTCTTCTACTACAACAATGCAGATGATGCTGATCAAGAATTAGTTTCTCCATGGAATATATTAAGAAGATAAATATAAGATTAAACTATAAACAACTCAATTTAAACAATACTACCTACAGGAAATCTAGTTGTTATGGTGCAAGTTATGGATTCTTACCTAGGAGTATATAATACCTCTTCTATAATATAGGTTCAAGCTTAGAATAAATCAGCTGATGAATATTATAAACTTGTAAATCAACTCACTTCATAAGCTTTATAGAATAATTAAGTCACTAACTAACTAGTGACTTTAAGCATAATAGCAGAAGATATCAGTAAAAACAATTAACTTTCATAACAATTTAATGATTTGGTTAGTCTACTGATTTAAAATTTATAGCAATTGTCTTTCTAAATACCTAAATTATCCCTTTTATCTACATTTGCGAACAAGGTAACTGCTTAGTTATCCTAACTACTATTTAACTCATCTTAATAAAACAATGTTGCTGCATAGAAAAACCAAATATTTGATTAGCTGTAAACAATACTCCAAAATACTAATTCAAGCATTCAAAGTAGTAATCTTAGTCATTTACAATAAAATAACGATATTCAAATTCAAAATGTAGTAGATTCTTTTAAAATTTTAAACTCAAGTGTTACCTTGCATACTAATAACTCATAGGAAGATATTTAATCCTACGATAAAATATCAAGTTAGATTGGAAATCTGCTTAATAATATAAGTTTACCAAACTAAGGACAAATTACACTAAATGGTCACTTTTCAACTCTTTTGTCAGATAAAGTAACATAGAAAAACTTATTCAAATATGTTCTAACTGTAGATGACAACAATTAAGTAAATTAAACTAGCATATTTAGTATCTCAAGAAATAATTATAAACAAAATATTTATCAAAATACTTCAGAATTTTAAGCATACACATAGCAATTCAAAAATATTAGTTAAAATTTCACTTACTCTATGAATGAAGTAATATCACCATAGATTTATAATTCTTCTTCTTAAGTAACCTTAAACCAGTCTACTATTGTCTACTAGTTCAATAATACAAATTCTAGTAAATTATATAATATGACATGCCTCTAATAAAATAATCTTTCATGGAGCAAATAAAATTGTAATATAAATAAAATTACTTAAAATAATTACATTTGCTTGTGTGGATCCTAAAAACCAACAACTATCATTGAAGATATTGATGACTTGTTCTTAAAAAATAAAAATCTGTAGACAGCATTTGGAGAATAGGGGCTATTAAATATAGCAAGCTTTGACAACTTTTATATGTATGTAGTATTTTGGCTATTGTTAAGTTTTACATTTATACAAATTTTTTTATTTATCATTGGAAAATTCTTAGACAAATACTCAGTAAAATTACGATACTAAAAAGTTCATAATCAAGAACTAAATAACTAATAGTAAAATGAATAATTATAAGAATAAACATAACAATAATAATAATAATAATAATAAATTGATGAAAATAACTAAAATATTTGTGAAAGTTCTTAAATGATAAATAAAGATGTTATATTGCATCACTCTCCTTTTACTGATTAATTTAAAAGTAATTAAAATATCTAACCAGAAATTGAGTAAAATCAATAGGTTTTATCACCTTTTGATTAAAATATAGGTAATAGAAAAAGAAAAAAAAAAAAATTCCTAAAGTTACAGACATAACAAACCCAAAAAAACTTAAATCTATTTTAAGAATAAAATATTGAAACGAACTAAGAGAAAGTCGAATCCAATTAAATACAAATAATTAAATAATAATCAAGTTCTAATAGTGTTGAAAAAATAAAAACTCAAGCATGCTCATAAAGCTAGATAAAATAAGTTTTAGATGAAGAGGAAATTTAATAAATTAATGTTTATTTGTAACTTCCTAAAACAAAAAAAATAGCCATTTTTCATTAATTTTTTAGTATTTTTTACATTTTTGATGACAACCTTCAACGTCCATTAAGATTCACTCTGCTTTACTTAAAAACAATACACACATTAGTTATTTCAATACTATTTTAAGGTTATAATATGCTCATATAGCAGGTACTAATAGCAATAATTAATAGCTCATTGATGAAGATCGCTTTTTTTGGAATTCTATTTACATTCAAAAAAGGTTCTATTGGTAAAACCATATCTTTAATTTTATAAATAATAATAAGCTTAGTCTATTACTATGTTATTTTAGCAGTATCTAGTGGCAAAACTCCAAGTGAATCGAATTAATTTATAATTCTATTTATAATAACATTTCTAACAGAAATGGTATTCATAGAGTTAATAAAGTCATTTTTTATGATCTTTTTGATTCAAAAATACATTAAAAGTAATAAATCCGAAAATATTTTTGGTAAATTATATAATTTGTTTGATTTAAAATAAACAATACTTAATATAGATGTTTGAGTCATATTTGCTTTTTATATTTTTTGTTTTTCATTTCAAAATATCGCCTTTTAAAATTATAATTATTTTTTTGAATTAAGTCTATTTTTAATTTAAAATAATTAATTATTGTTAAGTTTTTAATTTTAAAATCTTGATTACTAATGTTTTTTGTGATAAAAATTGATAATTTTTTTTAGGTCAAAACTAAAGAATATGCTATCGATTAAAATCGATATTTATCATTTTTGTAAAAATAAATTATGACAGAAAACTCCAAGAAAAAATTAAATTTTGGTAATTTTCTCAAAATTTCCTAAAAATATAAAAAAACAAAAATAAAACAAATTTATTAATTAATATTTTAGGTTAAATTATCTTATTACAAAATATTATATAATAATACATATTATGTTCTATTATTCAAATATTTAATATTTATTCATCCTTTTTCACCACTTGTATATCATCAAATTAAACGTATTATAGAGACAACTAATCTTTTTAATTTAAGATATTTGCTCTTTACTTTCAAAAATTATGGATAATTGATATATTAGGAACTTTTATATTTTATTAAATTAAATTTATTAAAAAATGAAATAGAATCAAATTTTTTAATTAAAATAAAATTTAAAATTAATAAATAAAAAAAACTTTGGCAATATAAAAAATAAAATAAGAAATTTTTAAAATAAAAACTTAATAAACAAATAAGAAGAGTTTGTTGCTATTAATTCATTTTTTTAAGTAAAAATATCACAATCCAAAACAAATAAACTGTTTTTACTTAAAAATAAGTCTCAACTTTGAAAGATTAGTGCAATTTGCTAAACAAGAACATAAGCCTGACGCACCTTAATAGCCAATTTAAGGGCTAAGCGACTCGAGTGGGCGAGTCGGAGGGTCTTAGCAGTGATATCGGGGGTTCGAATCCTATACCGCCCCCTTTATTTCGAAAAATTCCATGTAAAAATGTGAATGTTACCAGCGGTCTCCTTGGTAGGAGGGAAGGGCCAAATCTGATAGGAGGTAAAGAGGAGGCCCCATTCTGAACAGAAGATCTGGAATACAAATGGAAAGCGAGCATAATGCGTAGTCAAATCATGGAAGATTAGTAGAAATGCCATTAGGGTGTAGGTGACCCTTCCCTTCTAGTATATTACCCACAATTATATATAAATAAATTGGTATACGTATAATAATAATGTATAAGTAATTATATATAGGGCCCCTATCCCGAGTGCATGTAACCATGTGCGAGTATGTATGTATGTATGTATAGCCAATTTAATTGTCACTTTTTAAATATTGAAGAAAAAATATAAAATTAATTAGTAATTTAGATGGAAAAAATGAAGAAAAAATAATAAATAAAAAGAAATTAATAAATTATAAAAGCAAATGTTGAAAATAAAAAATGATTTAAATTAAGAAAGATAGTAGAAAAAACAACAAAAATACAATAAAAAAGAAAAAGAATAGTAAATCAAATTATAAGCTAATAAACACATTAAAAAAGCTAAATTGTTTTAAATTCATTTTTATAGTTAAAAATATCACTATTCAAAACAAATAAAATGTTTTTACTAAAGATAAAGTGTCAAATTTGAGATTTTAGGGCAATTTTTTAAACCAGAGCATAAGCCTAATGCACCTTAATCGCCAATTTTATTTTCACTTTTTAAATATTGAAGAAAAAATATAAAATTAATTAGTTATTTAGAAGGAAAAAATGTAGAAAAAATATTAAATAAAAAGAAATTAATAAATTATAAAAGCAAATGTTGAAAATAAAAAATGAGTTAAAATTAAGAAAGATAGTAGAATAAACAACTCAAATACAATAAAAAATAAAAAGAATAGTAAATCAAATAATATAATAATAAAAAGTTAAAAGAGCTATATTATTTTAAATTCATTTTTATAGCTAAAAATATCACAATCAAAAATAAATAAACTGTTTTTACCTAAGATCAAGTTTCAATTATGAGAGATTAGTGAATTTTGCTAAAGCAGAACATAAGTATGATGTACCTTAATCACTAATTTTATTGGATCTTTTTAAATATTGAAGAAAAATAGTTATTTAGAAGGAGAAAATGAATGAAGAAAAAATATGAAATAATAAAAAATTAATAATTAGATAATTAAATAAAATGTTGAAAATAAAAAATGAATTAAATTAAGACAAATAGTAGAAAAAGCAACACAATTAAAATAAAAAAGAAAAAGAAAAGTAATTCAAATAAAAACTTTTAAACAAGTTAAAAGAGCTATAATGTTTTACATTCATTTTTATAGCTAAAAATATCACAATCCAAAACAAATAAAATGTTTTTACCTAAGATTAAGTGCTAAATTTGAGAGTTTAGTGCAATTTACTAAGCCAGAGACTAAGGCTAATACACCTTAATCACCAATTTTAATATCACTTTTTAAATATCGAAGAAAAAATTTAAAATTAATTAAAGTAAAATGCCATTTCGATTTGCATTAAGCGAAATTTAATGTTTTGATTTAATTAAGATCATTTACAAATTTTGTGGGGATATTTTAATTTTTGATTAAAAATTAAAAAATTTTGATTAAAATTTGTGCAAATTTATTTTTTTCCATAGATATTTCAGGAATGTTTTAAGTATTTACTTACTTAATTTCATTCATAAGTAAATTAAATAATAATAAATTTGAAATAAAAACAAATTTTCAAAGATTCCATCAATTAATTTTCAAAATTTAATCTTTTTTTTTTTTTAAGCTAGATTTGTCTAAATTTCTTTTAATTAAACATTAATTTGTATAGATAGCCTATCCAAAATTAAAAAGGCATTTAACTCTAGTTATTTAGAAGGAAAAAAATAAAAAATAATAAGAAATGAATGAATAAATTAATAGTAAAAGCAAATTTTGAAAATACAAAATGAGTTAATTAAGAAAGATAGTAGAAAAAACAGCGCAAATAAAAAAAAAAGAAAAAAAAATTAAATCAAATAAAAAGCTAATAAACAAGTTAAAAGAGCTATATTGTTTAAAATTTATTTTTATAGCTAAAAATATCACAATCTGAAACAATTAAACTGTTTTTACAAAAATTCAAGTTTCAAATTTGAGAGATTAGTGCAAATTGCTAAACCAAAACCTAAATCTGATGCACCTATTGTACCAATAAAATTTGCACTTTTTAAATATTGAAGAAAAATATAAAATTGATTAGTTATTTAAAAGGAAATATGAAGTAAAAATATTAAATGATAAGAAATAAATAAATTAATAAATAATAAAAGCAAATTTCTAAAATAAAAAATGAGTTAAATTAAGAAAGATAGTAGAAAAAACAACACAAATACAATAAAAAAGAAAAAAGAAAAAAGAAAATTAAATCAAATAAAAAGCTAATTAATAAACAATTTAAACGAGCTTTATTGTTTTAAACTCAATTTATTATCTAAAAATATCACAATCCAAAAACAAATAAACTGCTTTTACCGAAGATTAAGTTTCAAATTTGAGAGATTAGTGCAATTTGCTAAGCCAGAAACTAAGCCTGATATACCTATTGCCCCAATTTCATTCAAACTTTTTCAATATTGAAGAAAATATATAAAATTAATTAGTTATTTAGAAGCAAATAATGAAGAAAAAATAAAAAATAATAAGAATAGAATAAATAAATAATTAATGTTGAAAATAAAAAATGAGTTAAATTAAGAAAAATAGTAGAAAAAATAACATAAATACAATAAAAAATAAAAAAGAAAAGTAAATCAAATAAAAACTAATAAACAAGTTAAAAGAGCTATTTTGTTTTAAATTTATTTTTATAGCTAAAATATCACAATCCATTTTTACAAAAAGTTAACTTTCAAAGTTGAGAGATTAGTGCAATTTGATAAACCTAAACATAAACCTGATGCACCTTAGTCACCAATTTAATTGGTACTTTTTAAATATTGAAGAAAAAATATAAAGTTAATTAGTTATTTAGAAGGAGATAATGAATGAAGAAAAAATAGGAAATAATAAGAAATGAATAATTTAATAATTAAATCAAATGTTTAAAATAAAAAATGAGTTAAATTAAGAAATATAGTAGAAAAAAAAATACAAATACAATAAAAAAGAAAAATAATAAATAGTAAGCCAATTAATAAACTAATAAACAAGTTAAAAGAGCTATCTTGTTTTAAATTCATTTTTATAGCTAAAAATATCACAATCAAAAACAAATAAACTGTTTTTACTGAAGTTAAAGTGTCAAATTAGAAAGATTAGTGCAATTTGCTAAACCAGAACCTAAGCCTGATGCACCTGTTGCACCAATTTTATTACCACTTTTTGAATTTTGAAGAAAAAATATAAAATTAATTAGTTATTTAGAAGGAAAAAATGAATAAATCATAAGAGATGAATAAATAAATAAATAAATAAATAAATAAATAAATAAATAAATAATAAAAGCAAATTTTGAAAATAAAAAATGAGTTAAATTAAGAAAGATAGTAGAAAAAACAATACAAATACAATAAAAAAGAAAAATAATAAATAGTAAACCAAATAATAAACTAATAAAAAGTTAAAAGAGCTATATTGTTTTAAATTCATTTTTATAGCTAAAAATATCACAATCAAAAACAAATAAACTGTTTTTACTGAAGATTAAGTGCTAAATTTGAGAGATTAGTACAATTTCCTAAACCAGAACCTAAGCCTGATGCACCTATTGCACCGATATTATTATCTCTTTTTAAATATTCAAGAAAAAATATAAAATTAATTAGTTATTTAGAAGGAAAAAATGAAGAAAAAATATGAAATAATAAGAAATGAATTAAAGAATAAATAAAAGTAAAATATCAAAATAAAAAATGAGCTAAATTAAGAAAGATGGTAGAAAAAGCAAAAGAAATACAAAAAAATGAAAAATAACAGTAAATCAAATAAAAAGCTAATAAACAAATTAGAAGAGCAATATTGTTTGTTTTAAATTCATTTTAATAGCTAAAAATATCACAATCAAAAACAAATAAACTGTTTTTACTTAAGATTTAGTGTCAATTTTGAGAGATTAGTACAATTTCCTAAACCAGAACCTAAGCCTGATCCACCTGTTGCACCAATTTTATTCTCCCTTTTTAATATGGAAGAAAAAATATAAAATTAATTAGTGGTGAGGAGAGAAAAAATGAAGAAAAAATATGAAATAATAAGAAATGAAAAAATAAATTATAAAAGTTAATGCTGTCAATAAAAAATGAGTTAAATTAGGACAAATATTAGAAAAAAAAACAAAATTACAATAAAAAAGAAAAGTAAATCAAATAAACATTGCTCACAATCAAAATAAATAAATTGTTTTTACTAAAGATTAAGTGTCAAATTTGAGAGATTAGTGCAATTTACTAAACCAAAACCTAATCCTAATGCACCTTAATCACCAATTTAATTATATCTTTTTAAATATTGAAAAAAATATATATAATTAATTAGTTATTAGAATGAAAAAATGAAGAAATAATAAGAAAGGAATATAAATTAATAAAAAATAAAAGCAAATGTTGTAAATAAAAATGAGTTAAATTAAGCAATATAGTAGAAAAAACAACACAAATACAATAAAAAAGAAAAAGAATTGTAAATCAAATAATAAACTAATAAATAGTTAAAAGAGCTTAATTGTTTTAAATTCATTTTATAACAAAAAAAAAATATCACAATCTAAAACAAAAAAACTGGCTTTACATTAGAATAAGTGTTAAATTTGAGAGATTAGTGCAATTTTCTAAAACAGGACATAAGTCTGATGCACCTTAATCGCCCATTTAATTGTATCTTTTTAAATATTGAAGAAAAAATATGAAATAAAAAGTAATGAATAAATTAATAAATAATAAAAGAAAATGTTTTTTTTTTGAAAATAAAAAATGTATTAAATTAAGAAATATAGTAGAAAAAACAACTCAAATACAATAAAAAACAAAAAGAATAGTAAATCAAATAAAAAGCTAATAAACAAGTTAAAAGAGCTATTTTGTTTTAAATTCATTATTGTAGCCAAAAATATCACAATAAAAAACAAATAAACTGTTTATACATAAGTTCAAGTGTCAAATTTGAGAGATTAGTGCACTTTTCTAAAGCAGAACCTAAGCCTGATACACCTATTGCACCAATATTATTACAACTTTTTAAATATTGAAGAAAAAAAAGTTAATTAGTTATTTAGAAGGAAAAATGAAGAAAAAATATGAAATTATTAGAAATGAATAAATAAATAATAAAAGCAAATGTTGTAAATAAGAAATGAGTTAAATTAAGAAAGATAGTAGAAAAAAAACAACATTTACAATAGAAAAAATAAAATAAAATCAAATAATAACCTAATAAACAAGTTAAAGGAGATATTTATTTTAAATTTGTTTATTATTAGTAAAAATATCATAATCCAAAACTAATAAACAGTTTTTATCAATTAAAAATGTTAGAACTAAAATTAATAAAAAATATCAAATAAGAATAAATAAATAATGATTTTTTAAATTTTTTAATGAAAATTAACTTAAAATAACTCAAAAACATTTTTAAATAAAATGCACGAATATTGGGATATTCTAAATGAACTGAAAATTAAATATATAAAAAATATGAATTATAATGAAAATATTTATAAATTAAATATACTTCAGATTAAAATGGAGAACCTAATGAGATTAAGGCGAAGAGTTTAATAACTTTTTATATTAGTAAATATAAATTTAAAATATATTGATAAAAAAATAAATAATTACTTCTTCTAATTCGTAGAATACTTTAATCTGTTATTTCATTTATTTTATTTTTTCAAAAATATTGAATAGCAATTTATGAAAATTTAATTAATTAATTAATTATAAGTAGATAAAAAGAACAATAAATTATATGAATTTATAAATTTGCTTTTAGTTTTAAAGAGAAATCACAAATAACTTAGTCTAACTAACATTCATTATTAAATCTTAATGTTACTATTTCAAATGTTTACTTAAAAATAATAAGGAACTAGAGATTGCATATAAAGGATAATGAGAATGCGAACTCTCTAGCTAGAATAAAATAAATATTTGAAGTATTTACACTTAAAAGTGAGTTTCTGGACCCTCCTCGCAGACTCACTCAGTCGCAAACCTTATTGAAGATTTATGATAGATTTTTAAACCCCAAAAGATATACATAAACAGATGCAATAATAAATATGATATTTACTTTAGTTATTAAATATATAGTGAAAAATTATTACCTACTTGCAAATTAAACATGAAAAATATTTAATCAATATGAGTTATGTGGGAGTAATTAATTATTAGTGATATATTTAAGAAACAAAATTAAAGAAATAATCCTGAATATTTAAAGTGAATTACAAAGAAAACAAGGGCTTTTTTTAATTTTATGAAAGCAAATCTTTTTATTTCAATAAATTGCGTAATTAAATTCTTCTTTGAGATCATTTAAATATACAAAAGAAAAATACTTCTTTGTAACATAATTAAATCTGATAAATTTTTAAGCGCCAAAAATTAAGCACATTAATAAATAATAATTTGTTTCAAAAGCAAACTTATATCTCAAATTATTTATAATTATTTTTTTAATAAAAAAAAAATAAGTAAAAACTTTTAAAAAATGAAAAAGTAGATAAGGTTATTTACAAATCTAAAAGATGTAAATCTTAATTTTCTAGATAATAATTATGATAATACTTTAATTAATAAAATAGTTTTTAAACTCTTCACTATCATCTCATACTCACGCTAAACTAAATCATCTAAGGTTAATTTTATTATATAAATTAATTATACAAAATTTAATTATCATTATGATAATAAAATCCTTGAATCATATCCTATCAATTTATTATTTAAACCTCAAGCTTTTATTAATTATTTTTAGCCTAAAAATATTTATATTTATTAATTAATAAAATAATTAAAAGATTATCTGTAGATGGCATATCAGATTTAACCTCAGCTATATCGAAGTGTAAAAATCTTTACTATTTAGATCTTGACTTAGAGTAATTATTCTTTAGTTTTATTTCATTTATTTATTTATGTTCTTAAAACCAAAATTGAAAAAAATATTATGGCCGACAAGAAAGTATGAAAGATTTTTAAAAATATTTAAAATTATGTTTAATTAATTAAATTCTGAAAAAATAAGCTAAATTCAATTTTATTTTATTTTTCTTTTCTAATTTATATTTTATTAACATTCTTTGCATTTAAAAGATATAATGAAATTGATGATGAAGGTATTACACTATTAGCTCATTCCCTTTTAAGCTGTTAGTATCTCTCAATTTTAGAGCTATAACTCGCGTATAGTCAATCTTATCTATTTATTTTTACTTTTAGATTCTCAATATTAAATAAAATACCAATAATTTAAATATACTCTATTTCTATATTTATTTATTGATTGATTGATTAAACTTGAAAAGGTATTAGTAGCATATTTTTTTGCCTAGTAAATGTTACTGAAATTAATTTTATTTATTTTGTAATATTTTTTATCAACTAATTAAATCTTAAATAAAAAAAGAGGTAATGAAATAGATAGTGAAGGTATTCAAAATCTAGTTTCAAATTTGGCAAAGTGTGCTAATCTTAGAACTTTAAAACTCTACATTCAGTAAAGCAATCAATATATTTATTTTATTATTAAAAAATTAAAATAAAAATTTTTTTTATTTATTAATTAAATTTACAAAATTTTTTGATAGATATATATTTATTTTTAATTAGTTGAAATGTTAATCATATTCAATCAAATTAATTCAATATTTTTATTCAACTAAACTAATAATATTTTGTAAAAATCAAAGAGAAAATTAGTTTAGTGATGCAGAAATTTTAGGATAAGCTCTAAAAAGTTTGACAAATATTTCTTGTTTTTCATTATAATTCAGGTAAATACAATTAATTTATGATTTTTTATTTTTTTTGGTATCCTTTAAAGTCAAACATAATCATATTAGAATAGAAAATTGATACATTTTTTTCCTATTTAAGAGTTTGTTTGGCTGTATTTATGTATGTATGTTGGTTTATTTATTTATTTAATTACTTATTTGTTATTTTTATTATTCTTTAAACTATTTTAAACTAAGAATATAAAGATGAGCTATTGAATTATTTTTATTAATCATACTAATTTGTATTTAATATTATATTTTTAATAAGTGCTTTAGAAATTGGTGATGAGGGTGCTTTAGCTTTAAGCTCTGGATTAGCAAAAATGTCTAACTTATAAAAATTGACACTATGGATATAGTTAAATAATTTTCTTGTTTTCTATTTAATAAAAATTATAATTTCTCGTATATTGTGGAATATTTATTTAAATAGGCCTTTTACTATTTTTGAATCATATTTTTTTAAAAATTTAATTAAAATCCAATTTTATTTAAATAATTAACTAATCCCTAAGTAATTTTTGAGAAACTAAAGTATTATTCTATCTTTCTCCTTTTTTAATTCTGATTTTATAAAATTAATCAATTATTTTTTTTAAAAACTTTTACTAATTTTCTATTACTTAAAGTGATAATTTTATAGGAGCTTAAGGTGCTTAAGCTTTAGGCAATGCTATAGCAAACTGTGCTAATCTTTAAACTTTAAAGTTAGATGTCCAGTAAAAAAGTTTTCAAATTAAATTAAAAAATTGATTTTTTAACACATTAGTTCAATTTTTAAAAGTAAAATAATAATAAACTAAAAATAAATTAATAAATCAAATAATTAAATTAATTTATTTATTTATTATAATATATTAATTATTACTTCTAATTTATTTAAATTCTAAAAATTTTTTCATAATTGAAATATTTTCTGTATAAACGACTTATTTTAATTAAAAATTAAAAGATAAAACAACATTGGATACTAAGGAGCTTAAAGTTTAGGACTTGGATTATCAAAAAATTCTAAACTATAAAATTTGGAACTTGATTTTATTAAATGGTAATAAATAATCTGTTGATTTTAATAGATATTTATTTTTTTCATTATTTCTTAAAAGTGAATGAATAATTTTTTACTTTCTTTTTTAATTTTTTCTTTTAAATTAAAATAAAATTTTAATCAATTAAAAGTTTTTAAGATGATAATGATGGCAAAGCTTTAGTAGGTTTTTTTTAAGCTTTAGAAAACAGCAGCAGTATTTCAAAGCTAAGGCTTTAATTTGAGTATTATAATTCTTTTTAAATCAATATAAATTAAATTAAAAGCTATTAATTAGATCTATTATTTTATTTTCAGGTTAAATTTATTTAATTAATTAAAATATGTAAAAAAACAAACTGTAAATCTTATTCATTATTAAGAAAAATAATATTTAGAAATTTTAATTCAATTTTAAAATTAAAATTTAATAGTATTATTTACATTAGTAAAAATTAATGTAATAAATAAAGAGCTTTTAGATTAAATAAAAATAACTTCATTTCTATTTTAAATTAAAATATTAATTTTATTGTATTATAATTAAAGGTCAATTTATATTAATAATAACTCTTCGTCAAGTATAGCCTCTTCTTTCTCTAAATACTCTAAATTATGTTATTTGGAATTAGATTTTACGTAATAATATTTTATTTTATCAATTTTGTAGTTTATTTACATATTTTTTCTAATTTAATTTTGAATTATAAATATATATAAATTAATAGATATCAGTCAATTGATAATGATACAGCTTCTTTTTTAGGATTTATCATAGCAAAGCTTCCTAATTTACAAACTTTGAGATTTGATCTGCAGTAAAATAAATAATTGACATATTTATTTTTTTTTAAAATGCTATCTCAGAAATAAATAATTGTTTTGATTTTAAATTTTAAAAGGATTTATTTATTTATTTGTTTAAAATATAAAAATTAAGATAAATAAATATATATTTTACCTTTAAAAAAAGTCATTCAAAAATGGATTGTAAAAGTCTATCAGATTTAATTTGTTCCTTATCAGGATGTACAAATCTATAAACTTTAAGTCTTAATCTTTGGTAAAATAGATTAATGTTTATTATCTATCTTCACTCATATTTATTTATGTATTAATTGTTAAAAGTTCTTCTGAAATTGAAAATCTAAAATTATCTGATTTAGGTGCTGCTTTAAAAAAAATATCTAATTTTTCAACTTTGGATTTAGAACTAAGGTATGTATATGTGATTTTATTTCTTTGATAATTTAAATCAATAGTTAAGCTTTAGAATGAATAATTAATTAAATAGATTGGTATAATAAATTCTATTTTTATTTATTAGCGAACTAACTAACTCATTTTAATATTCTTATTAATCCACTAATTTCAATTTAATTTATTAATTCTCAACATATTTTGTTGAATAAATAATCAAGTTAATTACTTATATTAAAAGTAAAAATTAGATTAACGATTATTTAGAATTAAGCTCTGTTTTTTAAGGTTGCTCCAATCTTTCATTTATCAAACTGAATGTGTAAAAATTAATTTATTTATTTTTTTGTCAAAGCTTACTAATAATTTAAAATAATGAGATTAAAAAGCATGTAACGATGCATAGTAATATTAAGGTGCTTGTTAACTATTTATAAATTCAATTCATTTATTTTAAATATATTTTAAATCCTTAAAATTTAAATAATTTTTAAAAATAAAATATTGATTTAATACAGTGAAAATGAATATTCGGATATCTTAAAATAATCGAAATTTGTCTGTAATATTCTGAAAATGAAAAGATTAGTCAATAAAGTTTTTGGTAAATCAATAGAAGATTATGAGGAATATTTTGAAAAAGAAAATAGCCAAGAATGAATGAATGAACGTTTGGATGCTGAAAATGAAAACAATAGTCAGTCAATAAAGTGTTTGATACATTATTTTGAATGAATTAAAAAATAAAACATTTAATTAAATAAATATTCTATATTGATTGATTGTATAATTACTTAAAAGAATTGTTTTTTATTTAAATCATAAACTAAATTTTCATTATTAAGGTCTCTTTCAAAAAAATTTTTTTTAATTAGTTTTAATCTAATTAATCTAAATCTACATATATTTATTATAATTTCATCCAAGCATAAAATTATTAAAAAATTAAGGTATTTAGCTTTATAAGTATTCAAATAAATAAGAATAAAATAAATAAAAAATGATAACTGTTTTATGATTACTTCTTTTTTATTATCTTATTAGTTTATCTTGACTTATTTCACATATAAAATAAATCTTTATTTTGAATAAAAATGTTAGGGCTTTTAAAATAAAATATAAATAAATTATTTCTTTATTAATTTTTAAATATATTATAAATCTTATTAAAATAATATAAAGAAATTAAGTTAAAAAGTTAATCAATTTGAAAGAATGGAGTTTACGAATCATTAAAAATAGCTTAAGAAATTTAAAATTTCCTAAAAATTATCCTTTTCTACAATATATTTTATAAAATTAAGTAGAAATGTATGTGAGTAAATCTGTTTTTACCTTTTGTATTATAAGGATAAAAGTGTTGAGGTTGAATCCTATTTTTGTAATAGGTTATTTAAATATTTGAAATAAATTAAAAAACAAATAGAATTAAATATTTATTTGTTGACTTTAACATTCAACAATTATAAATAAATAAATAAATGTTTGTTGTTAAAAATTGAAGTATTTTGAAAATATTTGCATAAATAAATAAATTGAATGAAAAAGATATCAATATTTTTAAGTTTTTTATAAGAAGATTCCAGATATATATATACACATATATTTAATAAAGGGATGGACAAGTCTAATAATTTGAGCAAATGTACTTAACATAACTCACATGTTTTAAATATGCTTTAGCTATTAAGTAAATGTGAAAGCGCTGAAATTTGTTTGATGTACGTTAATTAATTCAAAATTGAAGAATCTGAATTGATCTCAATTGAAGAAATAATCAATTCTTCTACTCAAACCATATTCAAAAACTTCCTTCTTATGAAAGATTAAGTCATGTAGGAAAAGCTAATAAAGTTTCAGAAGAAATTATGGTTTTTGAAAGCGTTCAAGAAAATATATATTACAGCAAATTGATTAATCTGCTCATTGAATAAAAGATAATTGATACAGATATAAACAAAGGGGAAATTAGAAAATAACTATTAGATTTCGAAGAAGCGCTTAAGTAAATAGATATAGTAACTCCTCAGTGAATAGAGAATACAATATGTTCTATGATTTACTAATTAAATTATTTTTTTGTTTAAAATCTATAAAAAAATATGCAGTTGTAATCATAAATAAATTAAAATAATATTTCTCAAGTAAATCAATATAAACCTCATTATTTGATCATTTTAGAATTGATATCAAATAGAACCAATTATTATTCTGAACAATATTTGATTTTTATTAGCGACTAATTGAACAAAAACTAAAATTTATTCAACAACCTCAAGGGTTTTGAAAATGAAACACGAGTATTTAATAAAGTAAAAAAGATTCGTTTGCCTTGTTAAATGGTAGCTAATTGGAAAAAATCAGAAGACTTTAAAAAGTTCTTGCTATAGACAAAAAATATGGTAATTTGATGTGTGAAAGCTAAAATAATCACATTGAAGAAACAATTTAACCGAAATCATTTGAAATTTAAAAAATTCTTAGTTAACAGTATCAATATAAACACTTAAAAAATAGCTTCTTTAAATTATTGAGAACTTATCCTATATTTGAGATAGTTGAAATACCAAAATAGAAGTCGATACTGCAATAAGTAGAAATAATTAAAGTGTTAAAAGAGTACTCTTAAAAAGTAGAAGTAGAGAGAACTTAATAAAACTAAATAAGTATAGCTGAAACCACTTATAAGTATGCCTAAACCTACTTGAATTATATTCTTAATCCACAAATTAAGTATGTATGTAATAAGGATTAATATTTAATCATTTATAATCTTCTATGAAAATTTCATCTTATTTTGGTTGGTAAATGAATAAGACAAGGACATTAAACTGCTACACAATGACACTTTAAGTTATTGTTAGAGAGAAAACTAATTTGGTATGAATAAAATTATAAAAGGAGGATCACTCCACTTGAACAGTAAGCATTATAGAAATAGGACTTTCGAAGTTAGAATTCATTTAACCGAAAAAATATTTTAGATAGCAGATTATCCTAAATATGAGGGAATTTTGCGTGATCAATGATAAATCTAGACTTATTGCTGACATACCTTACAGATTTGCAACAGAATTGTGCTATAAAGATGATAAAATAATAATTTAAGATATCTTAGAAATAGAGCAATTTGATGATTAAATGTGAAATAAGTAAGAAATAAAATTAAAATTATCTTCATTTTTTATGAAGTATTTTAAGACATTTTAAAAATAATTATTTAATCTAATTAAAAAAAGAATAATAATACTTTAAAGTGTTTAGAAGAAAAAAATATATCTTGATTGAATTGAGAAGTAAAAATAAAGTAAAGGATTTTTTCATAATTAATTAATGCATATTACTGTAAATCCTCATTATTTCTCACCTAATTATATCTTCACCTAATTTATCTTTCTTTCATTCAAATTATAAAAAAAGAAATTTTTAATCAAAAAATGATAGGTAGTAATTATTTAGGGAATAGGGTAATATTTTTCTATTAGAATGTAAATATCACTTAAGAAGAAATTTTAGATAGGATCCTGAATTTAGAAATTATAAACATATTTGTTACACCTACCTAATAAATAGCTGGGTGATTTTTTATTGTCTAAATTATGGATATTGATTACTATAATTCTTATTTGTGTATAAGCTCTATCTATTTAGTCTTATTTCATTTCAAGTGTTAAAGTTAGAAAAACAACATCAATAATTTAAAGTCCATCTGTATACAAATAACTAAAACGATTTAACTCCATTTATAAATTTCCAACCTTCCATAAAGGTATTGTGCATAAAGGGAGGATTTTTATTAAGAATATGATGAAAATAAAGCCTAAAATGAAGTTTTTTTACCTATTAACATGAAGATTTAGATTAATTGCATTTATTTAAAAGCTAATATTTTTTCATGATCTTTAAAAAAAATTTTACTAATTAAAAGAAAATGTTTCTTTTTATTTCAGTTTTTAAGATAGATTTATAGAATTTTTAAAGCATTCATATTACTATTAGATAATTAAATAGGCCCTTTATTTATCTCCATTTTTATTAACCAATCATTCATTAGTTTTTATATCAAGTATATATTTTTTAAAAGTAAATAAGAATTATAATTATATCTTTAAGTTAAAAATAATAGCTGTAAAATTACAAAGACAAAGAGTATATAATATATTTTAATAATTATACTAATTATTTGTTTTTAAATTAAAGTGTTAAAAATAAAATATAATATTGATTGAAACTTTTTTAAAGAATGTATTCAATATTTTTGTAAAAACTCAAGCTATACTTTTTAATAATAATCATATTATAATTCTTTTTCTTAATAATAATAATAGAATGCTTCTCTAAAATTTATTTTTTAAAAGTGAGAAACACTAGGATTGAATAATATGACCTAATAGATAGCTATTAATTAAATAAAGTTTAATTGCTTGTTTATAAAAATATGTTAATAATAAAATAATATTTAGAAAATGGATGAAAACTATTTAAATGAATATATTTATTTGTTATGCGAGTTTGGAGATTACTCAAAAAAAAGGTATACAAAAAGATGAATGAATGAATGAATGAATGAATGAATGAATGAATGAATGAATGAATGAATGACTGCTAAAATTATGATTAATTTATTGATTTAATATTTGATACTTTTCTTAATGATAAGTAAATATATATAAATCAATTAGCAACATCACAAACACTTTACATAAATTAATTGAAAATGATAGTGAATTAGATACCACAAAATCAAAATTTGAACATTAAGTATCAAAATTGAGTTTGGAACTATATGTATTAATATGTATTTAAGAAACACAAAATATTATAAATATCTTAAAAAGAAAAAATAAATGTAAAATTAAAAATGTTTGTAAAATTAATTGGTATTTAAATAAAACAATTCATATAATATTCATTTTATAAATCATAATATTATTTATTTTTAATTCATAATATAAATCTTTAAATCATTAAGTGATTATTTAGCTAAATCACTTTAGTGAGTAAGATAAAATAAACAATCCTAGATATCAAGAAATAATTAGTTCGTTTTCCTCTTACTTTTCTGAGGCATTCCTTTAGATAACGCCATCTATTTTCAATAGCCTAAGTTCATTTGGTTTAAAAATTTAGGGCTCCCACAGTGACTCCTTTGGCAGCACTTATTGGGGGATTAGGGTAGTATTTGCTTATTAGAATGTCAATTATCATATGAAGTTTTAGATTGGATGCTTAACTTAGAAACAAATAAATATCTTAATTTTCACCTAATAAATAGTAAGATTGTTTTTTATTGTCTAAATTTTAGGTATTGATTCTATGCAATCTATAATTCTTCTTAGAGGATAAGTTCCATTCAATTTAATTTAATTAAAGTGTTACAGTTAGAAATAAATAATCAATAATTTAAAATCCACCCATATAAAAATAACAAAAACTAATTAACTACATTCATTTTTAAATATCCAACCTTTACTGAAGCTAATGCCTGTTAAGAGAGGGTTATTATTAAGAATATGATGAAATTAAAGTCTAAAATACAATTTTTTGGCCTTCTTAATTAATTCGAAGAGTTAGAAAAATTCTATTTATTTATTTGCAAGCTACTATTTTAAACATCATCTTTTAAAATAATTTATTTTACTAATTTAATGATAAAATTTCTTTTTATTTCACTTTTTGAATAGATTTATGAAATTTTGGAAATATTATTTTATTATAAGACAGTAAGATATGTATGTGACCATTTTTATTAATCATTTATTAGATTTTATATAAAGATTATTTAAATGTAAATAAGCTTTATTTTAGTATCTTTAAGTAAAAAATGATAGTAGTAAAATAATAAAGACAAAAATTAAATAATATATTTTATCTTTTATCTAATAATTTAAGACTTATTGCTAGTTTGTTACTTAATGTTTATAATAAGATAATATCTAAAAAATAGATGGAAACTATTTATGTGAATATATGTATTTATTACGTAATAGCTACTGATTTATTTTTCAAAAATGAATGGCAGTTTTGAGATTTAAGAAATAATCAGATTAATTGATTATTATATGTAATCAAATAATTATTCTTAATAATAACAAAGAGTTTAATCTGAATTAATTTTTCAAAAATTAAGAGATACTATTATGTATATGACTTTATTAATAATATATAAAAAACATTAATTTATTAGTTGCTGGTTTGTAACAATTTTTATCACATGATTTTGTGATAAGGTTTCAAATTTAGATTATTATGACTATTAGAGTACTAATTTATAGGCTTATAATTCAAAATAAATGGATAAAAATTACTATTTAAACCATCAATTAAATATTATAGAAAAGGTTTTGTTTGTGCTAGTTTAAAAGTATACTGAAATTCCTCAAAATTAAATGTCATGTGATAATTTTGATAATGAATTAAGCTAATTTGATATTTTATTTATTGATTATGGATTGGATATATGAACTGCAATTTGAATTTCGCTTAGAACAGAAGAATTCTGTTAAAGTCTAAATTTGAATTTAATTACTCTATAATTAAAAGAAAATAAAGCGTGGCTTATAACCCACAAGTTGAAAGATGGCTTGTTGTCATTAACAGTAAATTTTAAATCTCTAACCTTTCTAATAAGTATGGCATTTAATAAAATGATTATTTTTATGATTTTTACATCTAAAAATAATTTCAGATGGTCAATTTAGTTAAATTAGAATTTAATGTAAGATAAATTTAAATGATATTAATACATTTTGTGTTTGATTGGTAACTAATATTAAATAACTTATTTATAAAAGGAAGGGAGATCAATTTATCTTATAATATTTAATTAATCAAAAACAATTATTAATCTAAATCTCTTAAAAATAAATCTAATTGACAATGAAAATTTAGAAAAACATAATATCTCTCTTGGTTTTTCTAAAAAGTAAATTTGTTAATAAATTATGGAAAAAAGGGATTATAATTTTTTTAATAATTAAACAGTTTTAAAATACTTATATGCTGATAGTGGTGATTGCTTAGAATAAGTGAATTTTTTAAACTTTAATCCTAAATGTAAGCCTATATTTTGAATTTATTGTTTTATTTTTAAATTATTTTTTATAAACTCTAGTTAGTTATTGCATAATTAATTATAAAAAACCATCAACGTAAACTGATATAGATAACATGAAACAATATTTCTCAGATATGAATTGCTTAAATTCAATAAGTTTTTATTGGGATTTATTATCAGGAACTAATTGTATTTCAAACAGGGATATAACAATACAATATACTCCCTAAAACCCGTAAAATAAATTATTAATATAACAAAAATTATTTTAGCAATATTTAAATCTTTTCTTAATGAATAATTCACTTTTAATAAATTTACTTTTAAAATCAAAAAGAGAATTCAAAAATATTTTTAATGTTTTAAATTGATATTCTTATATTTTTTCTAAACCTTTTTGTTAATAAATTAGGAAAACAAAGATATATTCCTTCAATCTTTAGTATTAGTTATTTACAGGAATGACTTCTAAACCTAATTTATTATCGAAAATTGAAATAAATTAAGTCAGCTAATTAAGCTAATTAGGATATATTATTAACGATTAAAGATCTTCTTATAATTCGAATTCTATGATAAAAACATAGTAAAATGTTGATAGTTTAACAATTAAAATAACACCATTTTATAATTATATTGGCTAAAATTATCAAATTTATTTTAAATACTTGTATCTAATAGTTTAATTGGTAAATTTAATTATTAATTTATTAATAGAGAGAGAGGCATAATATAATAATGATTAATTAATAAAAATTTGAAAAATTATTTAACTTTAACTAAAACTATAGAATGCAAATATTATATTACAAACACCCTTTCTTTAAATTTTTGAAATATTAATTGCCACTTAAAAATATTTACTTAACATATTATAAAAAAAGTGTCAAGCCAATTGTGACTAATGTGATTATAATTAAGTATGCTTATAATGTTCTTCTGGGTATGTTTATAAGCTATCTACAAACAAGTGTCTAAGTTCTTGTGATAGTAATGAGTTTGTAAATAATTTGAACTAGTGCTAATTATGTGATAATAACTGTGCAAGTTGTCAAGGCCCAAGCTCAAATAATTGCTTATCATGTAAACCAGGATTATATTATGATTAAACCACTAGAAAATGTTTTATTTGTGATTCAAACTGCAAAACTTGCGATGGTCCTAATTCAAATAATTGCTTATCTTGTAATATCGGATTATATTACAATTAACCTACTAAATAATGTCTTTGTGATTCAACTTGTAAAACATGTGATGGCCCTAGTTCAAATAATTGCTTATCTTGTAATATCGGATTATATTACAATTAACCTACTAAATAATGTCTTTGTGATTCAAGTTGTAAAACATGTGATGGCCCTAGTTCAAATAATTGCTTATCTTGTAATATCGGATTATATTACAATTAACCTACTAAATAATGTCTTTGTGATTCAACTTGTAAAACATGTGATGGCCCTAGTTAAATCAATTGTTTATCTTGTAACTCAGGATTATATTATTAGTAAGCTGCAAAATAGTGTGTAAAATCTTGTAATCAAAATTAATTTCCTAACTCACTATTGTAGTGTTAATCATGTGATAGTAGTTGTGCAAGTTGTGATGGAAAGGACTCAAATAATTGTTTAACTTGCTACACTAACAGCTTTCTCTACAATAAAAATTGTGTTAGCCTTTGTCCAAATGGGTTTTAACGTAATTTTATTGCGCTCACATGCGATTCTTGCTAAAATTATTGGAGCCTATAATGTAATCCCTGCAATCCCACCTGTTAACTATGCGATTAATCTTAAATTTTAAATAAATAATGTAAGACTTGTTATGATGAAACAAGATAACTTTCAAATAATGCATGCGTTTGCAGAAACTAACATGATTAAAGGAATATATTTTATTAATGCAGCTATCAAAATATTGCTGTTGTTGATGCACGATTAAGTGCAATATCTCCATTACTGACTATTGATTTGGGATCTCCATTGGTGAATATCATTTCAAATACACCTTAGTCTTTGTGTTCATAGGTATTTGACTCAGCAACTTTAGACATGCTTGGCTTAGATTCTTCATGCCAAATTAGCGGAAATCAAATTTTGGTTTAATTAAGTAGTTTAATTTATAAAATATTCAATACAACTTATTAAATTTATATATAATTTACTTTATTTATTTTAAATTTAATTTAATTTGATAAATAGGCAGCTCGTCAACAATAATGGAAAATAATTCAATTAATATCCTGCCAAATAAGTTACAGTTTATAGATTATAGTTCCAATTTCATTAATAAATTTTATAGAAACATTACTTTCTAAGATCCTCCTGGAATTCCTTAGCTTTAATTTAGCTATAATCACATAGAAAACAGCTGTAACTCTATAAATATAACTCTTAATAACCTTTAAAATGATGCAGGAAGACAATTTATGAGTCTAAATTGGACTCTAAATCAAATTGCAGGTCCCATAAGTAAGGAATAGTAAGAAACTATAAAGGACTTATTATTAAAAGCAAGCTAAAACAAAAGCACTAGTTTAATCATAGATCCTAAATTCATACCTCCAAATATTAATATAACTATATCATTTAGTTATTTACTTAAAGTTAACTCAACTGGTACTTAAATGTTCACCATTATTTATCAAAAATAAAAATTTATAAGAGTCAACTATTAGCAATCTCTCTATCCTCCAATTTACAGGTTAATTTTTCTTTATGATTATTTTTAAGAGTAATATTTATCCTTAAAATATCAAATAGATCTATGAGCTTGAGTTTCTACTTCTAGTTTTACATTGAGATATGTGAGTTAGGCCAAATAACTTATTTTAATGAGCCTGTTGATTTACAACTAGTTTCTAACCAGCTTTAAAAGCAAACCCTAAGTCAATATAATTAATCAAGCTTTCAATATGATATTCTCCCTTACTCCTTAGCATCTAACTAAATCTTTAATATCAGTGTAAATTTTTTATAAAAATTTGGAAGAAACACCACCATCAAAACTTTTAAACTAATTTATCAAACATCATTTATAATTAATTATAGATTGATTTAAATACTATTACTAAAATATTTTTATAATAGTAATATCAGAAATTTTATTTATTAAAAAAAAAACATAATTTTCAAATACCTCATATTTATTGAATATCATATCCATGCTATTAATTAAAAGATATTAGATTTTAATAATGTAAGTTCTCATATATTAACACCACCCCCAATAAACTTTGTAAATTTTTTGGCTTGTATTAAAAAATTTTTCTTAATTTTGGGAGTTAATATAATTTGAGGTGAATTAACGAGAACTTACAGCATTTGATTTAATATATCATCTTTAAAATACTCAAATATTATTAATAAATATTTGCTTATTTGTTTTAAATAATTTAATTTTAATAATAGCTGATTTTGAATTTGAGTTCAGATAGTAAGATTTCTGCCATCCAAAATATATCAGTTGATATTTAAATTACAGATTTGTATTTGTAAATTATTGGAGGCTCAAGTCTTGTTTTAGGCTATCAAAATAAAATGGTCTTAAATACAGATTCGAGGGATTATGAGATTTAAGATTAAAATTCCCTTTAAAATATCAACTTTAGTTGGAAGTGTTCTAGTTTAACCACTAATGACCATATTTGCTATGATTACTAGAATAAGAAGATCTAATTGCAGTAGGGAGCCAGTAGTATTACATTTCCTGCCAAAACGCTTTAGCCATACACTATTATTTAATTAACTGTTGTAGGATAAAAAGATTCTAGGTAATCAAATTACACCACTACTTGTATATTTACAGAATTAGATATTCCTCCACTCAAAATTATATAAACAGTAACTAGCATAAACAGAAAAATTAATTTGAATGATGATCTTAATTTTTAAATAGTTTATGGTGATAACATTTCATCAGATTACTTATCTTATGCAGGAGCTATATTATATGATAATGATCCAGTAGCAGCTATTAAATTTGATTATTTCCAAATTAGATTCAGAATTTGGAACTATTTTTAAAATATAGGCCCCTCAAAGCCAACACTTTAAATAAGATTTTCTGTGTATAATCCCTTATTTGTTATGCCAAGCTCATCAGTAATTAGCCTTTAAATTAATATTCCCCCTCAGAAATGTGTTTTAAATATAAATCCCTTACAAGGCATAGCCCTGTAGACTATCTTCTAAATTTAATTGTTAAATTGTAAAGATGAAGATCTTCCTCTGACTTACTAGTTTTTCTACTACAATAGTGCAGATGATGCTGATCAAGAATTAGTTTCTCCTTGGAATATATTAAGAAGATAAATATAAGATTAGGCTATAAACAACTCAATTTAAACAATACTACCTACAGGAAATCTAGTAGTTATGGTACAGGTTATGGATTCTTACCTAGGAGTTTATAATACCTCGTCTATAGTATAGGTTCAAGCTTAGAATAAATCATCTGACGAATATTATAAACTGGTCAATCAACTCACTTCATAAGCTTTATAAAACTCAAATATATAAGTCACTAACTAACTAGTGACTTTAAGCATTATAGCAGAAGACATCAGTAAAAGCAATTAGCTTTAATAGCAATTGAATGATTAGGCAAGTATATTGATTTAAAATATATATCAATTGTCTTTATAAATACCTAAATTCTCCCTTTTATCTACATTTGCGAATAAGGTAACTGCCTAGTTATCATAACTACTATTTAACTCATCCTAATAAAACAATTTTGCCACATAGAAAATTAAAATATTTGGTTAATTGTAAACAATACTCCAAAATACTAATTCAAGCATTCAAAGTAGTAATCTTAGTCATTTACAACAAAATAACGATATTCAAATTCAAAATGTGGTAGATTCTTTTAAAATTTTAAACTCAAGTGTTACTTTGCATACTAATAACTCATAGGAAGATTTTTAATCCTACGATAAAATATCAAGTTAGATTGGAAATCTGCTTAATAATATTAGTCTGCCAAACTAAGGACCAATTATTCTAAATGGTGACTTGTCCATTCTTTTGTCAGACAAAGTAACATAGAAAAACTTATTCAAATACGTTCTAACTGTAGATGAAAACAATTCAGTTAATTAAACTAGCATATTTAGTATTTCAAGAAATAATTATAAACAAAATATTTATGAAAACACTTCAGAATTTTTGGCGTACACATAGCAATTCAAAAATATTAGTTAAAATTTCACTTACTCAAAGAATGAAGTAATATCACCATAGATTTATAATTCTTCTTCTTAAACAACCTTAAACCAGTCTACTATTGTTTACTAGTTCAATAATACTAATTCTAGTAAATTATATAATATGACATGCCTCTAATAAAATAATATTTCATGGAGCAAATAAAATTGTAATATAAATAAAATTACTTAAAATAATTACATCTGCTTGTGTGAGTCATAAAAACCAACAACTATCATTGAAGATATTGATGACTTGTTCTTAAAAAATAAAAATCTGTAGACAGCATTTGGAGAATAAGGTCTATTAAATATAGCAAGTTTTGAGAACTTTTATTTGTATATAGTATTTTGGCTACTGTTATTTTTCACATTGATCCAAATTTTTTTATTTATCATTGGAAAATTCTTAGACAAGTACTCAGTAAAAATACGATACTAAAAAGTTCATAATCAAGAAATAAATAATTAATAGTAAAATGAATAATTATAAGAGTAGGGATAACAATAATAATAATAATAATAATAATAATAATAATAATAATAATAATAAATGGATGAAAATAACTAAAATATTTGTGAAAATTCTAAAATGATAAATAATGATATTATATTCTAGCACTCTCCTTTTACTCATTAATTAAAAAGTAATTAAAATATCTAACCAGAGATAGAGTAAAATCAATAAGTTTTATCACCTCTTGATTAAAATATAGGTAATAGAAAAAGAAAAAGATAAAAATTCCTCAACTTATAAACATAACAAACCGAAAAAAATCTATTTTAAGAATAAAATATTGAAACGAACTCAGAGAAAGCCGAATCTAATTAATTACAAATAATTAAATAATAATCAAGTTCTAATAGTGTTGAAAAAATAAAAACTCAAACATGTTCAGAAACCTAAATAAAATAAGTTTTAGATGAAGAGGAAATTTAGTAAATTAATGTTTATTTGTAACTTCCTAAAACGAAAATGATAGCCATTTTTCATTAATTTTTTAGCATTTTTTACATTTTTGATGATATCCTTCAACGTCCATTAAGATTTACTCTGCTTTACTTAAAAACAATACACACATTAGTTATTTCAATATTATTCTAAGGTTATAATATGCTAATTTAGCAGGTAGTAATAGCCATAATTAACAGCTCATTGATGAAGATCGCTTTTTTTGGAATTCTATTTACATTCAAAAAAGGTTCAATAGGTAAAACCGTATCTCTAATTTTATAAATAATAATAAGCTTAGTTTATTACTATGTTATTTTAGCAGTATCTAGTGGCAAAACTCCAAACGAGTCGAATTAATTTATAATTCTATTTATAGTAACATTTCTAACAGAAATGGTATTCACAGAGTTAATAAAGTCATTTTTTATGATATTTTTGATTCAAAAATACATTAAATATAATAATTCCGAAAGTATTTTTAGTAAATTATATAATTTTTTTGATTTAAAATAAATCATACTTAATATAGATGTTTGAGCCATATTTGTTTTTTATATTTTTCGTTTTTCATTTTAAAATATCACCTTTTAAAATTATTTGTTTTCAAATTATAATTATTTTTTTGAATTTAATCTATTTTAATTTTTTATAATTTTTATTAAATTTAAAATAATTTCTGTAAAGTTTTTAATATCATAGGCTTTATTACTATTGTTTTTCATAATCAAAATTGATCATTTATTTATTTCATACTAATTTTTTAGGTCAAAACTAAAGAAAAATGTTAGCAATTAAAATAGATACTTATCTTTATTTTTAAAATAAATACCAGAATTTCTTGAAAAAATTTCTGCCGAACTCCAAGAAAACATTAAATTTTTTTGTATAAATATCCAGAAAATATGGTGAAAATTTATTCTTGCTGGTGAGAATTTATGAGGATTTACGGTATATCAAAACATTAAATTTCGCTTTTTGTAAATTGATAAGGTATTTTACTCTAGCTAACTAGCTAGCAAGTAAATAAATAAATAAAAATTCAAAATTTGGAAGCAAAAAATTTTTTAATAAGATAAAATGAAAAATTTAATGTTTTTAATTGATTTAAAATTAATTATATTTTAAATCAAAATCTAATTATTATAAAATTATTAAAAAATAAAGGACTTTCTAAAAAATAGTGATGCCATATCAATCACTATATTTTAGAAAGGAATTTAGCTTTTTTAGTATTCAAATAAATAAGAATAAAATAAATAGAAAATGATAACCGTTTTATGCTTCCTTTTTTTATTGATTTCAAACTATTAAAAAAATCTTTGTTTTGAAAAAAGATTTTAAGTCTTTTAAACAAACTAAATATAAATAAATTATCTCTTTCTTAGTTTTTAAAAATGTTATAAATCTTATTAAAATAATTTAAAGAAAGGTCAAAAGTTAGTAAATTAATTTGAAAGGATGGAGCTTAAGAATCTTTCAAAATAGCTTTAAAAATTTTTAATTTCCTAAAAATTCTCCTTATCTACAAAATATTTTACAAAATTAAGAAGAAATGCATGTGTGCAAATCTTTTTTTGCCTTTTATATTCTAAGAATAAAACTATTAAGGGTACTGATTTAATCGTATTTTTGTAATAGGTTTTAAATTTTTGAAATAAATTAAAAAACAAATAGGATTAAATATTTATTTTTTGACTTTAACAAAGAAAAATTATAAATAGATAAATGTTTGCTGTAAAAGATAGATTGAAGTATTTTGAAAATGTTTGCATAAATAAATAAATTGAATGAAAAAGATATCAGTAGTTTTAAGTTTTTTAGAAGAAGATTCCAGATATATACACAAATATTTAATAAAAGGATGGATAAGACTAATTATTTTGGAAAATGCACTTAGCATAAGTCACATGTTTTAAATATGCTTTAGCTGTCAAGCAAATGTGAAAGCGCTCAAATTTGTTTGATGTGTGTTAATTAATACAAAATTGAAGAATCTGAATTGATCTCAATTGAAGAAGTAATCAGTTCTTCTACTCAAACCATATTAAAAAACTTCCCTCCATTGAAAGATTAAGTCATGCAGGAAAAGCTAAATAAAGTTTCAGAAGAAGTTATGGCTTTAGAAAGTGCTCAAGAAAATATAAAGATAAATTTATCTTAATTTAGGTAAAGAGTTAACTAAATGCTTTCTTTGATAGAGGAAAAGACTTATGCTTAGCTCAATCATTTATAAGATCTAAAAAATAATCTTGTAGATGTTTACAACAAAATATCTTCTAAAAATGAACTAAAAAATTTACTAATAAATTCTAATGAGGAAAACAGTAAATTGATTAATCTACTCATTGAATAAAAGAAAATCGATGCAGATATAAATAAAGTGGAAATTAGAAAACAACTATTAGATTTCGAAGAAGCGTTTAAGTAAATAGATACAGAAACTCCTTAGAGAGTGTAAAATACAATATATTCTTTGATGGAGTAATACAATTATTTTTCTGTTTAAAATCTATAAAAAAATATGCAGTTGTTATCATAAATAAATGAAAACAACACTTCTCATGTAAATCAATATAAACCTCATCATTTGATCATTTTAGAATTGATATCAAATAGAACCAATT